ATCTAACTCTTCTGTTTCAAACAAGCAGCAGCCAGATGCCTCTGCAAGCTAACAAGCTGGGTAAGGGGCAATGGCCAGCCCCTTCGGCTCCAGCATCAGGTACTCACACTTATAGCACCATTGGACGTGTAGGTTACATTTAGCAACTGCACACAGCTCCTGACAGATCTGTGCACTGTTTTCATACTGCTGTTATCTTGAGAAATCTATACTATACTAAGTAGCCTACAGCTCTAAGCCAGACAAGGTAAATAGCTCCAACAATGCTCAGATCACAAATAACATTTCCTCGTCCCTGTCATGGAGAGGAGACACACCCTAAAGTAAACCTGTTTGGGAACAGATATGTTTTAACAGTAGTTTTCCATAAAAGAAAAAAGAAGCAGCAAGAGTTTCAAATCATGGATCTGAAATATGATCCCATCCATATTCCAATGATACTCAGCCTAGTTTCTCCTTTGCATCTCAGTTATGCAAGGCAGGTGGTATTCTGGATCATTGCCTAAAGGTAATATGAGGACAACTAAACTGCAGCTCAACCCAGACAAGAGTGAAGTGCTGCTTGCTCATAATAAAACTGGTGCGGCTTATGACCATTATCTCAAGTAGCAGGTTCAAAACTTGAAAATATCTCTAGATGAAAATAAATTACAGAGGAAGGTGTATATCCCCTCTGTAAGGCATAGCATCTTTGCCCAGTTTCGGCTGGTACACCAGCCATGGACTTTCCTCATGAGGCATAATTTAGATACAGTTCCATGCAATGAGCACATCCAGACTGGATTACTACACTGTAGGTAAAGCCGCCCTTGAAAAAAGTTCAGAAGTTTCAAATGGTGCAAAATGTCAGGAGCAAGGGTGATGACAACTGGGGGGAGGTCAGGAGCAACACTGGGCTTGTCACTGGCAGCAGCAAGAGTGGGAGGTGGCCAGTAACCATGGCGGACACAGGAGCAGAGGACAGGAGCCACACTGGACTCAGCAGCAACAACAGTGTGGGGATGAGAGAAGCGTAGCAGGCCCAGCAGCAGAGGGCGGGAGCCATGGCAGTGGTGGGGGGCTGCAGTGGGCTCAGTGGCAGAGGGCAGGAGCCGACAGTGGCAACAGTGTGTGGGGGGGGCTGAGAGCAATGGTGAGCATGACAGCAGAGGCTGGGAGCCACACTGGGCCCAGCAGCAGCGGTGAAGGTGTGTGGGGAAGGAAGTCTCAGCATGCACAGTGGCAGAAGGTGGGAGCCAGGGATGGGGGGTGGGGTAAGAAAGCTGCAGCAGGCTTGGCTGTGTCGATGTTGGAGAGTGGCCAGGAGCTGCAGTGGGCAGTGATGGGGGGAAGGGAATCCCCCATGAGCATTGTGGTTCCCCAACTCTGTGATACACACAGAAACACTTTTATACTCCATTTTTCTCTAAGAATATCTGCTACGTTATGAACTCATGGCTGTCCACTGATGGTGATTCATATAAATCTTAAACTGATCCATATAAATCTTTCACTATGAAGTCACCACTTCCTAAAGCAATGCTCTGAAATCCCTGAATGCCATTCTAAGAAAAAAGGTTTTCTGTCACACATTATTCGGTCTGTGAGGTCAGAAGGGCATCTAGCACAAGGAACAGACCCTTCCCCTGGGACAGCTAGGCAGGCTCCTAATTTAAAATCAAAAGGAACAGGGTCTTACCTCTCAATCCCCAAACTTCAATAATGAGATAAGCAACATGTTGGGTTCTGCAGTGGCAAGCCTTTTTATTAAAAAAAAAGAAAAAAAGAGCACAAGCAATGGCTGAAAGATATGACTTTTCTCAGAGTCTGATTAATGGCCTATGATCAACAGTGCTGCAGGGCAGAAGCTACTGTAGAGATAACATGATGCATGGCCACAGGGCTCTGAAAGCTTCATCTACAGTCTCATCTTCATCAAGACAAAATTCACATAGATCAACAAGTTTTTGCACAAGGCTTACACAAAGACACAAGAAATCCTAGTGAATATCCTGCATTCTGGCTGATGAAGCAGACACCCTCCATCTGGAAGCAAAATTTCCAACAAGGTGTCCAAAAAAACCTTATGCTATGGTTATGCTACGGGGGTATGAATGTTAAATTTGAAGTCATTTTGGCCACTATCCCTGTTGATGGCTACATTCTATTCACAAACACCCCAGATGCTATCTGGAAGGTCCTACACCAGCTTCATCCTTCCAATCTAAGCCTCCTATTTCAGAAAGAACTCCCCTCCATCAAGTACAATTTGAGACATTGCGCACAGAAACAGAGATCCAACAGACCCTCTTCACATTATTATTATTAAAAGCCCAGTCCTGCATCAACTAGGACATGGATTCCTTAAGATCAATGCAAGCCCTTTTCCATATCAGTGTGGTCCTCAACAGCCTAATCATCAACACATTCATTCCTCCAGATTGGCAGCTCTTTCTAAGTGACACTTGCATACATGAGTTTAGTATTACTTTAAGGCACACTTCCAAATGTTGGCAAGGTTCCTGGTTACAATAATTAAGCCTATAGCATGGATGGGTTTCTACTCAAGGCCTCTACTCTAATTCAACTCATGGGGGTGCATTTTCATATCACCAATAATCTCCCTTATAGATTCTAGTTCTGTGATCAGTCCATTAGTGCTCTCAGTGGTTGATCTGGGCATGTTCACATGGACCAGGAAAGCTCATCAAGGAACTTCAGCAAGTGGTGATCAGCAATGCCGACTCTGCCACCTGGGGAACCAATAAGAGTGCAGCAGCAAAAGACACTTATTCAGGTACCCAATTTTCCAAGAGGATAAATTTCCGCGAGCTGAAAGCAGTCCTGTGAGCTACCTAGGGAGGTGATGAGCTCCCCCACATTGGCAGCCTTTAAGCAGCAGCTGGACAAACACTGGTCAGGGATGAACCATAGAATCATAGAGTTGGAAGGGACCTCCAGGATCATCTAGTCCAACCCCCTGCACAATGCAGGAAATTCACAAATACCTCCCCCTCCACACCCCCAGTGATCGCTGTTCCATGCCCAGATGACAAAAAAACCCTCCAGGATCTCCAGCCAAATTGGCCTGGCAATCAGCATTTCCCTGGGTGTGTAAGAAAGGGCCATAAGTACTAAGCACTGAGGCAACCCTTCCTGCCCTCCCTCTCATGATCTGCCTAAGTTCTCAGAACCAGCATTGCTGTCAAATGGCCATCTAGCCTCTGCTTAAAAAAGGAGAGCCCACCACCTCCCACAGAAGCCTGTTCCACTGAGGAACCGCTTTAACTGTCAGGAAGTTCTTCCTAATGTTTAGCCAAAAACTCTTCTGATTTAATTTCAACCTGTTGGTTCTGGTCCAACCTTCTGGGGCAACAGAAAACAACTCTACACCATCCTCTATATGACAGCCCCTCAAGTACTATAGCCTGTCTTGGCAATCCATCTGCCATAACGTTTGATATTTTAAAGTTTCTTCTTTCTTGTTAGCTATGAAATGTTATAAATACAGTTAGGGGTCTCGAGAAGGTATTAGAGTGTCATAAAGTTGATACCATGTGATTAATTTGAAAGAATCTAAACCAGGAAATCCTTTCCCCAATCTTAAATTCTAAATGAGATTTGTCCAAAAGTTGACCTTTGCTAACTAAATCAATTAGACGGGTAACACCAGCCTGTCTCCATTTTGAAAAAGCAGAGAATTCTTTCCCTGGGGGGAACCATGCTTGATTGAAGTAAGAGGATAATTTAGAGATGTCTGGGAATAAGATCTTCCTACATTTATCCCAAATATTAAACGAGGTCTGAAGAAATCCATTTCCCTGTGCCTTGTTGGATCTGCACTTGGGTGAGCTCCAATATAAATCCAACAGTATGAATGGATCAGAGTAATTTTGTTCTATTTGTTGCCATTTTGTTACCGTATTGGTAGTTAAAATTCTGACTATGGAAGCCAGATTTGTTGTCTCATAATATAATCCTTACTGAAAACTCTCCGTAGAGTTGTGAATTTGATTCTGAGTGTCTTATAGGCCCAAAAGAATTGATTAATTGACTTCTGCCATTTTGCTAGTTCAGTTTTAGAGATGTGCACTGGAATGGCTTGAAATAAAATGAGGTATTTAGGTAGAACAAAACTTTTAATAACACTTAATCTGTCAGCCCATGAGAAATCAATGACATTCCATTTTCTCATTTGTTTTTAGTATCCTGAAATACATTTGTAAAATTGCATGTTACTAGGTCTTTCAGATCAGCGGGAATTTGTATTCCCAAGCATCTCCATTAAGAATCTACCCATAAGTAAGGGAAGTTTGCCTGTAGCTTATCTTTCATATAAGGGACAACCCATATTGGAATTATGCAAGATTTTTCTAAATTGACTTTGAGACCTGAAATTTGAAAAATGTTCTGAAATAACCCGTAGAGTTTTAACAGAGAAAGCTCGGGGTTTGTGCGGACAATAACTGTCATCTGCATACAAGTTTTCAGTGTGTGTTGTTTCTTCAGTTTTGATTCCCTGGATATCAGGATCACTGTATGGCTTCCACTAATGGTTCAATTGCAAGAATGAACAGTAAGGAAAACATAGGGCAGCCCTGTCTTATACCTCTGTTCATGGTGAATTTCCTTGGTTAGGTAGTTATTTACTTGGATTATGGCTACAGGGTGATCATATATAGATCTAATAGCATTCTGAAATTTTACACCAAATTTCACAGCCAATAAGAGATATTTCAAATACAGAATTTCTATAATGTCAAAAACCTTCTCTAAATCAATTGTGGGGCGAATGGCATCTTGCTGCATGAGCTTTCCGTCTGCAAGAATATTTAGAACCCGATGAATATTATCCATTAAAGACCTTTTTGGTATAAAATCTGTTTGGTCCTGCTCAGTATAATCTGGAATTATTGACTGCAATCTATTAGCCAGTACTTTAGAAAAGATCTTCGCATCACCATTTAGTAACGCTAAGTATTTCTCATAATTTGGAAGAACAGTATGTTATCAACACCTACCAAACATGTCTTGCACTTTGCACCTGAAGTGCCTGCAAGGTCTCCCCTGCTAGTCAACACTGGAACAGATTTCTTGAAAGGATGCAAAGTATGAGTTTGAGTCTGAAAAAGAACAGGAAGAGGAGAAAGTGACAAATGGGAGGTCAGGAAAGTACATACAGAGAAGCAAGAAGTATATGGGCATGGGAGAAATAGGAATACAGAAAAGAGCATTTCTTATAATGTTCTCCATTTAGAACAATTTTGGAAAGCAGTCATCATTGCTCCCAGGCCAAACATAATAACATAATGCAGTTTTTCTAGCTGACCACTAAACACACATTTCTTTGAAAATTTCCAATGAAACACGTATTAATTCTGTGGAAGGTTGAATTACAAGACAAAACACAAATTGCAAAATAAGGAAGTAGGTTTTGAGGAAGCAACAATGATAAACCAAATTTTAGGGACTATAGGAGTTTACACTATCTCTTCCTTTGGCCATTTTTATGTAGACACATACAGATTTTTTTATGTAGATGCAGAGACCATCAACCAGAAATGGATTCTCTAAGAAATCCTGCAACTGCAGAAGTTTGCTCTTAGTAGTCATACAGACCAATTATTCTGTTTAGAAATTAAAGGTGAAGATAAATATCTCACATAATGAGAAATGCATATCAGATGACAAGCAGAGAACCACAGATACTCAGCACAGAACATAAATTGACGACTACTTTTATTCTACAGTAGGGCAGGCTGAGAGCTTGAAAGGCCCTACATGCTGTATTCTCTCTCAAATCAAAGGGCCAACAATATTAAAGATGACAGTAGCTGTGGGCCATGCTGTGGAATTCAGCCATTCTAGACAGTGTACATGTCTAACATGTTGCATTAAACACATCACCCTAACAAGAAGGCTGAAAGATATGGCGCTTGAAGCTAAAGACCATATGTAGGAAATTACAAAGACCTGAATGTATTGTGAAAGAGCCATGAAGCATTATTAAAATTATCACAACACCAGCATCAAACAGCTGTAGCTGTTTTCACATTAATCACAGTATATAACGAACAAAAAGTGGTTTAAAAGGACAATTTGCTTCAGTGAATTAACTATATGTCTGCTATGACATCAGGTCGCTTTTTTGTTCTCCTCGTCCTCTGACCTTTTCACTCTTGCAAAATGCTCCACTTCTTCATGTCCGTCAGCATCATTTCACTTTATGCCAATGACTGATTCACTTTGATGCCACAAAAAGGTACAGGCAGTCCACAAGTGGGCACTGAGCATTGTGGAGGGAGGGACCCTCAGAATTTCAAGGTCCATTAACAGATTTTGCAAGTTAAACTGTTTCATCAAACCCCAGATAAAAAATGAAATTGAAAATACGATAGGCCCAAGACAGACAATATTAAGGATTTGGGAAAAGAAACAAGCTGTTTGGATACCAATACCTTCAAAATGAGTGCCACTTGCATCTTTAAGTCAAGAATTTTAAAAAATTGAGATAACTTTTTGGAAGGACTTAAAGAGAAAAGGTTTCTTTAGGCTGAAAGATATGTATACCTCTCAAGGAAAATTGATCCCAATAAAAGAAGTATTAGAGAAAGTGACAGGAAAATACTGGTTAACGATCATGGGATTATACAGCGTTTTGAGACAAAAGACATTTTCTGAAGCAGTAAATAAGGAGGATAACCCCTTTGAAAATCTCTATAGTTCTAAAGATGACAATAAGAAGGGTATTGCAAGAAACGTGTATAGTCTATTGAACAAAGATAAGGATTTTATGATTAGGACAATATAATCTAAATGGGAAAACGAGGGAAACAGGAGGTAAATAGAATAATGAAGGGAACACTGGAAATAAAAATGGGAAAATCTAAAGAATTTGAAATGAAATTAACCTTGAAATGGTATAGAACACCTCCTCAATTATCGTATATGATTAAGGGAATGAAATCAGAGTGTTGGCATTGTAAAAGAATAAGGGGACATTATGCACATCTTTGGTGGGAATGCTCTAAAGTAAGGGAATTTTGGCAACTGATCCTGGAAAAGGTTGATAATTTATGTAACGTTAAGATTGAGCTGAATGAGAAAGTGTTATTTATGGGAATTCTGGGAAATAATAAAGTAGATAAATCCAAAAAGTATTTATTTAAAGCTATGATTCTAGCGACTCATGCGGTAATACCGTATGGATGGAAAGATGCCTTAAAATGGACTTTGGAAAGATGGAACTGGTACTTATATGAATGGATTCAATCAGATATTTTATTGATAATAAAACAGGATAAGACATGGGAAGATAAGGCATTGGAGATAAGGAAGAAATGGTTTGGGTATATAAGATGGGTAAGAGGAGGGGGGGACCAATAACAATGTATTGATAAAACTCCATAGGGTGTGCTCATGGTTACAGATATAATAATAAGGTTCTTCTTCTGGTCGCTCGTGAAAGGGGGGAATAATAAAGGGTTAAATTTATGTATCTGATGTTTGGTTATGTAAACTTGATGAAAAGGAATATGAATGAATATGAAATGTAAGACATCAACACAAATAAAAAACATTTAAAAAGATACTGTGGGGCATAAACACTTGTTGACATAGACTTTACTTACAACTGAAGTAGATATATGAAAGCGAGGGGGGGAATAGAAAATTCTAAAGCAAATAAAAGCCCTTCCCTCATTTTTTCCTAATGACTTCCCCAAAATTTTCCAATGCAAAAATAGACATCTTTAAGAGCTTTCCAAAACTCCTATGAAATACATTTTCACTGACATGAATAAAATGTTTTTCATGATAATTTTTTACTCATTCAAGATCTATAGCATGAAAGAATTAAGACTTCTCCCTAGTTTTAAGAAGACCAACAACATTTTATTCCAGGTATAAGCATTTGTGTGTGTGCACACTTCTTCGGGGGCGGGGAGCATGCCACAGAGAGAGGGCGGGAGTCCCATGGCACTTGGAGAGATCCCCCTTTCCAGTTCTAACAGACAGGGGGAACCTAACAGCAGAGCCTGCATTCTTTATTAGTGAAAGAGAGCAAGAGTCCAGTAGCACCTTAATGACTAACAAAATTTGTGGCCGGGCATGAGCTTTCATGAGTCTCTGCTCACTTCTTCAGACTTATTTCCAATTATTCTTTGCATCCTCCTGGACTGAATCCTCCTGTACCAAACAGACCTAAGTTCCTGTCTTATTACCAATGCTTGCTGATATCTCCACGCCTACTACCCCTCTTCCTATCACACCTAATCCAATCAAGCCAGTTTGGTGTAGTGGTTAAGTGCGCGGACTCTAATCTGGGAGAACCGGGTTTGATTCCCCACTCCTCCACTTGCACCTGCTGATGTGACCTTGGGTCAGTCACAAGCTCTGGAACAGCTGTCCTTGAAAAAGAGCAGTTTGTGTCAGAGTTCTCTCAGCCCCACCAACCTCACAGGGTGTCTGTTGTGGGGAGGGGAAGGGAAAGGAGTTTGTAAGCCGCTCTGAGACTCCAAGTGAAGGGCGGGGTATAAATCCAATCTCTTCTTCTTCAAGCCTATTGCCATTTGGCATCTGAAATCATCTTTATAAAGTTTATATCTCCAGTACCTTGTGTTACATTTTATGGCACATGTGGCCTGGCCCGACAAAGTGACATTTATGTCAGATCCAGCTCTCGTAACAAATGAGTTCGACACCTCTGCGCCACGCCAATCACAAAAACAGCAAAACCTTACAGAAAGACAAAGGTATTTACATCTCAAGAGAATCCTCACATACACACCAAACTTTGAATATTAACCAAACAAACACTAGAATAAGGACTGAATATCCTGCAGACGCATAGACTGTTGAAAGCAGTTGGAAATCAAAGGAAGAGAGGGATTAGCCAGCCAGGTCAAGCTCCTGAGAATGTACGGATTCTTTGAAGGGAAGCTTTGGATGTGGACTCCAAATTATCACACACCCCATGCAATTCTTTTCAGGCTTGTATATTCATAATGTAGAATTCAGATCTCTACATCATCCCTAAACTGTACTGAAAAGTATGACAAACGTTTTTGCAAAATCCAAGTTTGTACACAGCAAGATTTTTCATTTGCTTCCTAATTTTAACTGATATTTCATAAATACAATTTATGACCATATTCCAATACTCAGAAACCGCCAGACATAGCCATAACATGCGTTCTTAATCTGAAACCAAGATAACGTGTTCAGGAGCTACAAGTATTAAGACAAAATAAAATGCTTTGTTATTAGAAAGGTTTAGGTAAGTGGAAAGGAAGTAAAACTGGGTTAATTCTCTTGAATGTACATAAAAGTCAAACAACTGGAACAGGATGTCTACTCAAATTCCAGCGCGTACATGTTATGACTGAGAACTGCATTAATATGTAACTACTGGTAAAACTGTAATTATAACAGTATGATGGAATCCAACTTTTCACAGTTCTACCACTATGAGTATCTTAGTCTGATGAATGGATATTAAGCTGTAGCTAGCTCAGTGATTTTTTTTTAAAAAGCGCACCCACTAGCTCCCCTTTACTCTCACCTGTTTCACTTCCAGCCCTTGTTTTAGTCGTATGGGTTCATTTCCACTTTTTCCATCCTTTGTCCCTCAGGCTTAACCACTGGCAGAGGTCGGCTGATTCCCCTCCCCCTTACTAACTAAATTTCCTCCTTCACTAGGAGGTTTGGGTGTTATTTCTTCCCCCTCTCTCTAGTGTAAAACAGAACTTTAAATCAGCGTTTCAAGCATCCAGCCCCTACTATTTTTATCCCACCCCCCCCGGTGGTCCTTCTAGGTCAGGGCCCCGGTGCTCACCGAGCTGAGCCAGCATCCAACTCTGAGCCCAAGTAGAGCTCTCTGTCACTCGGAGACTAGGAGGACTGGAGGCGCCTCAGGAACTCTCGCCCGCTCGGTAGCCCTCAACTGGGACTTGGTCAACAAACCTTCAGCCCCGCCCGCCCGGCGGCACCTGCTGGTTCTGCCCGCAGATGGTCCCACAAAAGCCCTAACCCAGCCGGCGAGCTCTGAGCCGCCCCTAAGGCACCACCTAGACTCACCCGGGGGTTCCCAACTCCAGCAACAGGCGGACGGGGCTTCCCGATTCAGTTCAGACCTACCCGGCGGCACCCTCAGTCCCTCCCCCACCCCGGGTCCTGCTCCGGTCGCTCTTTCCTGCGGGTGCCCCCGTAACTTTGCAGGGGCTTCTGAGCCTCTTGGAAGGGGGTCTCCTCCCTGCCCCAAACTTTATCCCCCTCCCCTCTCAGCCGGGACCTCGCGCTCAGCCCAAGCCGCCATTTTGCCGCGGGGCACGTCGGGTAATCCGGCGGAATCCCCACGTACCGGCGTGGTTGCATCATCACCCTCCCATGGGGGGGGGGACCCTCGGCGTTAGAATGAAAGATCCGCGTGTCTGGCGCGTTGCCATCGCGGCAGGAAAATTTCAAGGTGGAGAAGGGTGGGAGACGTCGGAAAACAGCACACAGATGGGAAGGGGCAGAGCAAGTTCGAACTAAAATCTTGTAAACATGTAACAAAAAGTGTAACAGTCAACAAGCATGTGTAGCTCGTTATCACTTCTCTGTTGTTAATGTAGCGCTTGTTACATTGCCATGTTGACCAAGTTTATTCGGAAGTGTGTCACACAGAAGTGTGATTCAGCGATAGTCTCCTTTGGGTCGCACTGTGACAGCACTTAAGACTGAGCTGTTAGCTGGGTACATAAGAGCCTGAAGGAGACGAAGGAGTTATCTAGTCCAGTATTCTATTTCCCAGGGCTTCAGAAGACCGACAAACAGTACAAGGCCGATCAAAAGAAACATTGCACAGGATGGAATGTAGATCATTGGAATTGTAGTTGGGCGCTGTAGGTGACAAGCAGTGTTATGTCACTTTCTAAACCTGCCTCCTTAGGGGAATTACTTTAAACACATGCATAGAACTTATCCTGCTAGTAAAACAGAGGACCTGTGCGTGTTGACATTATATTATTATACCTCACTGATCCTTCCAACTACCATCAAGAGCACATCAGCCAATCCACCCATTAATCCTTCCCTACCATCAAGAGCACATCAGCCAATCCACATTCTATAGCCATGTTTGTTCCTTGTAACCATACACATTTATGCCAACATCTGATAAGTGAGCTTCAGTCCATTTAAATTTATTCCACAATTAATCTGTGAGTTTTCACACCACAAGAAATTTTGATGGCTCCATTAAAACCTACTTAACTATATGTGCCATTTCTACTTGTACTTTTCCAAAATTACCCACATCCTTTCCCCTCATATTCTTTATTTTTACAAACTGAAGATCATTTTCCACCCACCCACCCCAAAAAAACTCACCCTATGAGCAGGTTAGGTGGCCAACAGAACTGACAGAATCCTGCCAGCTGCTTTGGTGAGACGGTAGTATGGTGGAATCATAGCCTGGCCTACATTTGCGGTAAAATTACATTTACCTGAAAGGAAGACTATGTTTTTCCCCCCTAGCAGTTCCATCAAGAAAACAGGAATGGTGGTGGTGGTTTAGATTTTTATACCCCCTCCCAGCAAGGCAGACTCAGGGCAATGTACAACAGGTTAAAAGCAAATACATCATAATTTAAACTGTTCACATTAAGAACTATTGAACAACACGGTCCTGAATCCTAAAGCGCCATAAAAGGCACCATTTATCTTTACTTTTCATAAAAGTTACAGTTATGTACAGTAGTAACAACCTTTTATATATAAACCTTTTACTAGAAAGTATCAAATCACAATATATCAACACATAGCAGAAAAAACCAATTAACCACAACAGCAACAAAGTACAATAAGCCAGGGGAGCACATCATCTAACATCCAGGCTCACCTTCCTTTCAGTTAAATACAGCACACTATAAAATTCTGAGGTACTAGAGTGATCACCACCTCTTCAGACTACAGGTGAGGGGTGCAGTTAGACCACATTAAAATTCCCTGCAGCAAAAATCCAGTATATCAGGGAGAAAAGTAGTTTTGCAGTTAGCTTCTTGTTGTCTTAGTTTTTTTCTTGCAGTGAGCTTTTTATACAAGGGTCTATGGAAAAAATGATCCCCTTTGTGCAGTCTAAAGTGGTGCAGGCCAGTCTGTTACCTCAATCTGCAGCAAGGCTCCTGTTAATGTGGCAGGGCGATAGTATCCTTCAGGAGGACCCATACAGCTGTTAGTCTGACAAATGAAGGCAACTTGGGGGCTGTTTATAAAGTCTCTGAAATCAATGGTAGCCAATGATGTCTAAGTAAACCAGACTGCAGATTGATATGAGAACTGTTCATGTAAACAGTTTCAGAAAACCAACCTACTGAGGTCTATGGGTCACTTATAGATCAATATAATCAGAGATGGGCCTTTGGCCTGATCCAACATTGGCGTCTCTTATGTTCTTATGTTCTCTTATGTTCATGTAAACATAGCACTCTTTCAGAAAACCAACCTACTGAGGTCTATGGGTCACTTATAGATCAATATAATCAGACAATCCTAGTAGAAGCTCTTCAAAATCTAATTCTGAAGCCTCTGGTACAAACTCTTTGGGTTTCTCTCCACAAAATCCTGAAGTATGGCCTGAGTTTACAAACTCCTGCTACTCCTCATGCTGCACAGTTGCTTCTTATTGCAAGGTAGGGTTGCCAAATCCAGCTTGGGAAATTCCTGGAGATTTGGGAGTGGCAGCTGGGGAGGGGGGAGTTTGGGGAGGGGGGGACAGTGAAGATATGATGCCTTAGATTCCACCCTCTGCAGCTGCCATTTCCTTCAGGGGAACTGATTCCTGTAGTCTAAGATAACTTATATTATGAAGTGGCAGTGCTTGGATGGATAAAAGATTGGTTAACTCTGGAAAATACAAGAGGTTTGATCTTAGAAGGCCATAATTTATGCATGGGATGGCATGTATATGTGTGGTATGGGAAAGATAAAATACATTCAAGTTTCCAGTAACACACGATAATAGGAGCATTAATAACAGTTTGGAAAAGAATAAAAGATTATTACTATACTAAAATTCCGAAATGGGTATCCCCACTTGAAGCCTTTATAAAACCTACCTTAGTCACTAAGGGGAAAAAAGAGAGTTATGAGACTCTGCTAGACAAAAATAATAAATTAAAATCAGGTGAGATCCTACTTGAAAAAAACCTAAAATTAACCTGGTGGGAAAACTTTCAACTTAAAATTAGATATAATAAAGATAGTAGAGTGGGTTTTTACAGAGCAAACAATGAACTTGATAAAATCTGGCTGTTTACAAATGACAAAATGATCCAGAAATTATATAGTTTTCTATTAGACGATTACATGCAAGATGAGACAGTTAAAACAACGATGATTACATGGATGCAGGATATTGGGCATAACATAGATCTAGAACATTGGTCTAAAATATGGAAGGTAACAAAATTTATGAGAGCAACAACATACAAAGAAAATATTTATAAAATGTTTCACATATGGCATTGGTCCCGTGTTAAATAGCCAAATGTTATTCAACTGTTAACAATAAGTGTTGAAAATGTAAAGGCAATGTAGGAACATTTTACCATATGTGGTGGAGATGGGAAAATCCAAAATTTTTGGCTTAAAATACATAAGATTATACAAGAAATACTGCATATTAATTTAGCCTTAACACCAGAAATTTTCTTATTGAACATGATCCCTGATGGTTATAAACAAAATGATTTGTATATGGTGACTTATATTTTAACGTCAGCTAGAATCTTACTGGCTAAATGTTGGAAAACGGAGAAAACGCCATCAAGAGAGGAGATGGTTCAAAGATTGTTGAAACTAGCGGAAATGGACAGATTAAATGTTGTTTTATTAGGAAAAGATGAAGAACTATACTTAAAACGATGGATAAGAGTTTATAAATGGATAGAAAATAAACTTGATGGATAGACTCGAACAAAATTATTGTAACCAAATTGTACTGATTATGTTATGAAAAAGCTATATATATATATATACACACGCACACACACATAAAATAAGATAATTTGCATCAAACCTGCATTTGACAAAGGTATTGTCTGTTGTTACTTTCTACAGACTGACAGAATTGTTGGCAGGACTACGAATGCTAGTGATGAAATCAAAGAATTAATCAAAAGGGGAACACTTGAGGCGCAGGCTTACCTCCTGCTCCTATATTATGTCAGTGTAAACACAGACAAATATTGTTAAGTCGTGCGCTTAACAAAGAAGTCGGAGAGTGATTCAGCAAGAATGCGGTTTATTCTTCAGCTCTGTTACTTCTCCGTACTCGGTACAACGATCAGTCAGCCAGGACAGCTTTAACACAGAAGCTGGCCTGCTTTTAAACCTTCCCGGCTAATGTAGCCACTCCCACTGTACAAGTAACAACCTATCAGGTTGAACGGATAATGACCAATCACGAGCGCTCCCGCTCCGTAAGGTGATTGGATGACAGTCTCTGGGCTAGGGCTCCTATTGGTTACATTAGGATCCTAGCCCAGGATGAAGCTCAACACGGCATCTCAATCAGGCGATTCACATATCAGTATTTACATCCACAAAGCAGTTATATACATTCCAATACATAACAAATATATTGATAACTGCTGCTACAAACCTTATCTG